ATGGCCGCTGCCATCATGCCATATCCAAATGTGATAATAATGCGTGCAATTTGCGCTTTTGCTACCATTATTGCTTTTTCTTGAAATGTTGTTGTCTTTGTCCAATCGTTGACAATTAAATGTATTATCGGTGCGACAGCTTCAAGAATATAAAAGTAAAGATATCAATAACAATATAATAAATTAGATGTTAATTACTAATATATATTAAAAAATTTATTATAAATAGAAAAAAATTTTAATATAATTTTAATATAATTAAATTTAATAAATTTTAATATAATTAATAAAAATTTGCTTATGATTAAATTTAGTTTCAATTAAATATTAGAAAATTGCAGAAATACATTAATAACCTCTAGGATCACAACAAATTTTTTTGAAAATTAACTGAAATCAGAATAAGGATGTTTCTTATAGATATCGAGTCTGAATTAAAATTTTTAAGACGATGCTGGAGTGGTCGAATTTGATGTCTATAGTGTAGACTTTTTTAATTCTGAATTAAAAATATCGATAACAGTGTAATCTTTAATTCATTTTTTTCATTATTGTTTTGTCTCATTCAAAGATATTTATATGTCTTTATTTAGCATTAGGCCTGTTCTTTTTGGTTGAAATTTTACATCAGTTCATCTTTTATCCTTTTTTTTTCCAAGAAGAAAGAATGGAATTTAATTTACGATTATTCCATTTTATTATATAAAAAAAAAGAAACAAATTTATAGGTGAAAATCAATACCCCCCCATTTTTCAAAACATTACTGTTTCAACAATTTTTAATTTATTTATTATATTGCAGTTCCAGTAATAGTATATAATTTAATAATTTCCTTGATTTTTTGGTTTCTAGAATTAAGGAATTCAGGTTACTAGAACTAATGGAATGATGTCAACGCGTCAAAAAGAAATTTTTTCATATGTCTTGCGTATCACCGTGTATTTTTTTTGTAATACATATGGACATGAAAAAATAATTTTTAAATATCTATTTTGTACAAATAAAGTTTCAAAAAGTTTCATAATAATATATTAATTCATTTCTTTTAAAAAAATTCCTGAATAATCATATAATTATATAATTTTTAGCCTTAAAAACTAGAATAACCTCTTAATCTTAATTTTATAAATTCAGTACCGTTTGTGAACGTAATCCGATGGATGATATAATGTCGTTTTGTCCACGAATTATAAAACTTTTGTACGTATTAAGGAAGCATCAGCTCTATGAACTGAAAAATGAGCGAGGTTTAAACTTTTTTTCAATTTTGGTATAAAGGTCTAGTACATCACCTCCTAATTTTACGTCTACTTCCGAAAAAAGATTTTCGATTCCGTTCAGTCAATTTTTATACAACTATAATGTAGTTTGGTTGTCTCCAGCATCGTTTTAAGGCTCTCCTCAGCTATATTGAATCAGGACTTCTTAAGCGAGAAATGACACGTTGATTTTTCTTGCATGCTATTTGTATACAATGATAATTTGGATAAAACAGAATAATGAAATCGCTACAAAGCTTGTAAAAATGAGTCGAGATTATTCTTTCTGATCCCTCTGATAGGCAGTAATGATCGAAAAATATTCATGTGAAAATAAGTTACGCATGCTCATTGAGTAAGAACAGACAAACACACATATCTTTTGCGATTATTTACTATTTATTAATCAAGGGAGATAATGAGCATCTTCCTTTTTTACAATGATTTCATTATTCTGTTTTATTCAAATTGTTTTCTTTACTTATAAATAGCGTGCAAGAAAAATCAACAAGTACAACACATTTCTCGCTTATAACGTCATGATTCAATACAATTGTAAGGTACATAGGAGCTTCAAACTGTTTTGCTATATTGTTCACTTTTTTCTAGGTAATCAAGAAAATAGTGGCATATTTTTGAAAAGTTACATTTTTGCCTTTTTTAAATGTTTTTTTTAATTGTTATAGATTTTCCGCTATTTTTCTTAAAAAATTAAATGTAATAGTGAACAAATTTAATTTTTCTAATTCGAATTCAAAGATCAACAATTTTTAAAAACAACAATTTTATTTCTATTTAATTAAAAAAAATTTTTTTAGTTATATATGTAATTAGTCCGCAATTGTAACAGTAATTCTACATATACGTAACAAATATAATATATAAATAATATATAACTGTTGTACATAAATCAATAATTGGTACATGAACTTAAATTTTTTATTTTTAATTTCTCTAAAATTCAATATAAATAAATTTTTAATTCCATTTTAGAATTGTACAAAGAAATGAGATTAATTCTGCTGATATATAAAATGTATATTGTAAATATTTTATATCGCGTAACGATCAAATCGCTACTTTATTTATCTTCTCTCTTCCACCAAAAAATTACAAGTCTTAAGACGCAAGTAATTATTGGTAAAGTACTCATCAAATTATCTGTCACAAGTAAAATGTCAAAATGGATTCTTATCAGAGAATATAGAGCAGGAATCATAAGAACAAATATTATAAATAAGAAAGTGAGAAGTACACGTAAATTGCACAAACACTTTTCCCATGTAGTTTGTTCGAACCTCGGCCAAAGTCCGATTAATTCTAGACTAAATCGATTTAACTTCACTGCCCATTCGAAATCTATCTCAAAAAGGGTTTGATAGATTATATGTTCCACTTTGGATGAAATATATTTTATCTGACCTTTTTTTGATAATGATCCATAATCATATTTACTATGACTGCGATACGCAAGATAGTTTGGTGCTTTCATGTTGAACGTAGGAAATGAACTGACAACTCTGTTTCTTTTATAAGGACGTCTATACAATATACGGGATGATATACGAGTATATCATATACATAATAAAAATCCTTAAAAACGCAAGATGTTAAGTAACAGAAGGTTTAAAAAATTCTACATGTTCCTTCTTATTGTGCAACTACGGATAATTACTAGTACAACAACGTTCAAAGCAGTCATGAATAATAACTGAAGTAATGACTGGTTGATAAGTACTTGGTCATGCGGCAGGTTATGTAGATGTAGCAGTTGTTTTTACGCAGTCGTAATCGATTTTGAGGCGTCTATAGTCTGAACTATAGTTATCTTATAACGACCAATTATAATATTACTTTTATTGTAAAAATTAAGTACAGTAAATAGATATTTTTATTTCGTATTTTACGATATAGGTTTATTTTACTCTTCCATATATTCATTTTCTGAATGTAGATGTTTTTCATAACGAATCTCCTGTACATATACTTGTATCATAGAATTCCATCATTATAGAGACCAGCTTTATTTTATTGCTTCTTATTTCTTCATTATCCATTGGCATCTACTTTCTCCTTATATAACAGAACGATATTAATTTTTACTTAATCGATAATCCATGCATGTGTGCATAATAACAGTTTTTAAAAATAATAAATGATTATTACACAAAGTATGAACTTAAAAAATTTTAAATCCTTCGTATTGTAGAAGTTTTGTCAGTGCTTTGTGTAACATTCAAAGCCAGCATAATAAAAAAACTGGCATAACAACGAGGGATTGTTAAATATCTGTTTGGAATTTGTTTTTATCCTCGTGTTAAGTTCTCACGAATTTGTAATTGATTTCAAATATTTTATGTGATTTTAATTATATTTTTTTGTTTTTGTGTGTAGTAATTTGAATTAATATTATTTTTTTATTACAATTAAAGTGTACAATTGTTTGCTCTATCTGTAATTACAATATTAAATAAATATGATATTGGGATATTTCCTAGATTGTAATAGAATATAATTGATAGTTATTATTTTCTCATTTTTATAATCTATTTAATGAACAAATAAAGAGAATTGATTAATTTTTTCTCAATTATTGTATTTAGTAGAGAAATATTTACTTGTTTTAATTAATTTGGGTTTATCGATAAAATATGAAATTTGTTTGAATGTGTATGGAATATTTAAATTTACTTTATGTAAATATTCTTTAAAAATCTTTAAAAAAAATCTTTCCCCAATTATGTTTATGTGTACTGGATTAAAAACATATAATAAATTACCAGATATCGAAATCTAAACCCGATAAGCAGAATTGTTTTAGAAGAAGCTTATGTCTGTTTTTGAATTGAAATTATAGAACTTATTTTACATAATAAGATTTCTCTAATTATTCTGGATATAAAAGTATTAAGATAAAGTTATAAAAAGTATAATATATGAGACATTTTATACTTTATTCAGGCATATATTTTGATATGAAATATAAAATATTTCGTGAATTATTCATTATTTAGTAATTTTATCATAATGCTTTTCCGTAATGCTTAATCTATAGAACAGTATTAAATCACTTAATATAAAGAAAATACTTTACTACAAAATTATTGCTTTAAAAAAAAATTGTATAGTTTGCAAAATGCAATTACGTATATTTTGATATACGTATATGATATATAATATATATTCTCTTTACATCAATTAATTTATCTCATTATTCTATACATCTAAAATATTAAAATTTAATTAAAAGAAATGAACGTAAAATTTGTATTAGAAATGCGGGTATATTTCATATTTATCTCAAAATATGCTCACATTTTTTATTTTAGATATCAAATTAAATAAGTGATATGTTATAAAAGATATATTATACGTATATAAAATAAAAATATATAATCTTTAGTAACATTGAATTTTATATTTTTTAATTACTTAATACATAATCTATTATCTTTAATATAATATTGCATGCGATGGTTTTCTCGAAATGCCTTATACTTATTTTTCTTTCTTTTTTTGTTTATTCAAGCTAATTTTTTGTCTTTTTTATATTATTTGATAGTTTCTATCAATAAGTAGTATAATCAGTCAGCAGCAAAAAATTTAAGTATTGAGTTTATTCATAATGTATATAATCATTCTACGTAAATTTTTCATGTGTCTTACATGACATACTCTTTAAATTAGTTAATATTTTTTGGTTAAATCATTATTGAATTTGTTTTTAATACTAATTTGGGCATTATTTATATTTTAAAACTTTGATTGACTCCTTGTTGTAAGTAATACAGATATGTATCCTGCTGACGTTTTTAACAGCTACAAAAAATACAACAATAAATTAATAAAAAGCATTTTTAAGGAAAAGCGATATGAAAATATAGATATACATATAATAATATATACATATGATTAAATATTAGATATATTATGAATATTTTAGAAAATATAGTATATAATCAAATTTAAATTACAATCAATATATTATATGCAATATAAATTAAGCAATAATTATAAAAATAATCTGTAATAATTGAAAGAAACAACAATTTATGCAAAAATTATATTTTTATAATCAGTTCTGAATTTAAAATATCCGAATCAGCGGAAAATCATTAATGTTACAAAAAATCTCTTAGCAGCTGAATAACTGACTCGGAATGCTTTATTTTTTTATGTATTTTGTGATGTTTTTACTTGAATGTTTTAAATTTTTGTGTTTACATTGACTTTTTTTCATATAAAAAGACTGTCTTGTTGTACTCTATAATCATGTTTTAAAATCTAGCTAACTTACACTGCAAAATGTAGCCATCGTTAAAGGAAACAGTTTACCAAAGTTTAGATGAAGAGGTTTACTGGTTCGTAACATTAGAAGAACTAGGTCTCGAATATTTCTTCCATTCATGGTATACCATTCATTGGAATATACAGCATAGTGGATTCTATCATACTTAAAATCATAAAAAATACATATATGAATTATTAAAATAGCATGCAACATAATATATAATGTACATATATTAAAATTTATATGCAATTTTAAAATGTGATTTTTTTATATTAACTAATAAACTTTGGATATTAAATACAATTGCAGCTTAAAACTTTTATGAATATAATTGTCATACATACATAATATATACTTATTAATATAAGTTTCATTTGATATATATTAAATGAATTACATTTAAAGATATATTACCTCAGGTAGTCGAGTGTGCAGAAACAAAGAGTGATCAAAAACAAGTGGGTTTTTCGCCTGTTCTTCGAGCCCTCAATTTTTGGATTGAACTGTGTGCCAAATGATACCCTGCAATAATGATTACAAAGAAGTTCCAGGTTGAGGTGACAATTGTCGTTATAGCTGGAGGGGTAAGGGGAATTACGTAGTGCGTCTATACGAAAATTTATTTTTTTTGCATTTAAAACAAATTGATTTACAAAATCATCGGAATAAATATGATGTTCAGTTAATCTTGTCTTCATCGGCTAAATTAATTGTGATTTTGCCTTCATCGGGAGCAGCGCACTTGCACGCTGTTCAATTGCTCACACCATTTATATCGACCAGTTTCTAGTAATTTTTTACTGCGTTACTAATGAGATTATATTGTTTTAAATTACTCAATTAGTATATAATAGGGGGCAATTGGTGTACCTTCCGGATCAACTTTCTTAAAATATCAGATATATGATAATTTGATAACTTGGACTTTGATTTCACCCCTCCCAGCTCTGATAATAATCGTCACTTCAACTTCAAACTTTTCTGTGATTAATGTCTCAATATAAAATAGAATTTGGCACAGTTCAGTTCTGAAATCAGGGGCTCAAAAAACGAGCGATTTTTTCGGTCACTCTTTTAACAGTCTACTATATGATTATTGATGCCGAAAAGACAAATTTCAAGTAGAGACTGTTTTGTAAACAAAATGTATATAGTAGAATGTCGGTAGAATAACAGAATATTTGATCGGAGAATGTTAGTAGATTAACTTCAACTGATTTCGCTTTCTGCTTCCATTCTGATGACAGTGATTTGACATTCTTGTTACCTAAATTAATTCGACATTTTTGGACGTTTGAAAAATGTCTAGAAATATCCCGTTTTTATCGCTGTATGTTGAACATCTAAAAAATGTTCTAAAATGTTATTTGGATGTCCTATAATATAGCTATTTACACATACATTTTAGGTAATCAATTAAATTGATCGAAGGTAGTGTCAAATTTATCGTTTTCATATAAAATAATGATATATTTAAGAACAGTGGCGATTTAAATTAAATTAAATTTAACACTACCATATAGCACGCATTATTATTGTCCAATAGAGGTCATGTGCTGTCTGGGTAGTGTCAAATTTGATTTAATTTAAGTCGCCTCAGCTCCTAAGTGTATCATTATTTTGTAGACAGTGTATGTATATTTAAGTTTATACATATACATTTACACATATACATTTTATACATATGTAAAATATATTTTATTCATTAATGAAATTATTTAAAATTATTTCTTCAAAATAGAAAAAAAATGTAGGTAATAGAAACGTCATTTTGACAAATTTTTCAGTAATAATAGCGTTACAATTTTAATACTCAAAAAATAGCGAAATCTGATCCATTTCTGCTATTAGCTTGCTTCAGATTGTATGCGCATATACTGTTCGGTTTCTGTTATCAATTTACTGTCAAATACTCTTAACAGCTCTTGCTTCAGATTGTATGCGCATATACTTCCTCGGTTTCTGTTGTCAATTTGCTGGCGTAAAATGTTAATAAGCATTGTGTTTGATTTCTGTCACTGTATTGAAATACAATTTTTAAAAAGTACTATCGACAGTACTGGAGAAGAATGGAGAAGAATGCGATATCAGTTGGAGTCAATCTGCTAATTTCTAATTCTGATGAAATTTGTTATAAATTTATTGACATTCCGATAACAATTTTACTTTTTGAATATAATATTATTATTATTTATGATTTTAGAATGCATTTATTATAATTAATCTGTAATTGTGCGTGAAAAATATAATAATTGATAGGAAGTAAGAATTGATATTTCATATTATACCTGAGCTGTTAATATTTCGCCAACAGCGCAGTACATGCACATGTGACCGAATGTATTGATAACGATGCATAAAATATATATCAAGTTTAAGACCGTTAAGTGCTGTTTACTTTCGAGCATCTAGTGAGTTAATTAAAATATGTTAAAAGTTGTAATAATATGTCATTCTTGGTATTATAGCATATATTATGCATTAGGGTTACCAACGCACGGTCGAAAAGAATACATTGATTGACAATAAGAGTATATTTTCCAAAAAAAGAAAAAAAAGGAAAAAAGATGAAGAATTTAGGTTTTCTTTTTTAAATGTTGATATTTATTGATATATATAAATGACATTTTTAGAATGAACATAACCTTAATATAAGCGAAGCAAAACTTTTTTGTAAAGTAATAAATTTAAATATTAAATAATAATTTTTTAAATTTCTCAAAAAAGAGTTTAATGAGTGAAACGTAAGAGTACGCTGTTTTTTGACTTTGAAAAGAATATTATACGATTGATAATCCTAGTTATTATTAAAGATTGATTACATATGATACATGTGTTATGTTATGATTAAATATGTTCTTAAAAAAATATATGTATATATAAGGTACAAGTGCGATCCAATTAACATTACAAATATTTCAAAAACTTTTATTTATTTAGCAATCAAAGAATGTTTCAAAGTATTTATACTACCACAAGTGGGTTGTAACAATATATTAGATAACATGTTAATATTACCAACAAGAGATCATTGCGAAATGCTAAATTTTGATTTTAATAAAACATTAATGTGTAGATTATTAGGTATTACGTAAATAAATACATGTTAAAAATATGAATTGTTATGAAAGAAACGATTTTAAAGAATAAAAACGCCTCTTTTAAGTATTTTTAGGTGTTTTATTATGTTTCAAAAATTATTTAATATATTATAAAATACTTTATATAAAAGTTTTGTAATAAAATTGTCTCTGTTTGTCCACATCAGCAAGGGAATTATAAAAAATAATTTCGGAAGTATAAATATTAATAATATCTATTTTTTTAAATATTATTAACGTGAATAAATAGAGATAACTTTATTATAAAACAATTTATAAAATATTTTTTTATACGTTCAACATTTTTCAAATATAATAAAAAAATGATTTACATGTATAAGATCGATTCCTAATGGTCGATTGTTTCGGATAAACTATGTGATAATTTACCTGCTGCAGAAACAAAAAATTAAATGAGTAAGAACATAAGAAAGTAAAAGAATAACACAGCCAACTGAAATTAATCGAAAGATGGGACAATCCAGTCTAAAACTGTTTTCTTTCTCAACCGATATTTATCGACTTTATTTATTTACGTAGCCTATATAAATTTTTCATTAAAATTAGAAATTGATACTTTGTGAGATGATTTTCTTGCAAGAATTATTAAATATATTAATAGCTTATATAAATGTATCTATTATTATAAATATTAAATACGGAATTCTCTCGTGTGTATTATTATGATTATTTCAATATATAATATTCTATATATAATATTCTAAAGTTTTCTGAAATATATAATCAATAAGACAATTTTAGAATTGTAATTTTACAATTCTTGTTAATAAGAAACATGTAAAAAAGTGTGTAAATGTAAGATGCGATTGCAATTGGAACATAGACATGACGTTATTTTTATGTGTATGAAAATTATTTATGAAGCAGTAAATTGTATAACAAAAATTCTTGTAAAATAATTACGTTTATTATCCAAAATCCATAGAAAGCAAAGAGTGCACCAAAATACAGAAATAGTATCAGCAATATTATATTGAATATGTCTTCCACATGATTAATAGCTCTAGAAAATATCATTTTATATCACTTTATACTAAAGAATCTATCTTGTTTATATACACATCTGTAGAAGATATTTATTAGATAACAATACTAATTTTAAATCTTTAATATAATTTTGAAATAACAATTTTCTGTTTCGATAAGAAATATATTTTAATATCATAACTGTTAATGAAATTTCTTTTAAAATTCTATTTAATCACTTATTAGATTAAAGCAGATGTAAATGCATTAGATAAAACTAATAAAAAAAATCAGAATTTGTATCAGTGTGCGAATTGGATATATAATATAATAGCTTAAGTACTGTTTGGAATTGCAAATTAAATCTATTTTGGAAAAGTTTGCCACGTGGCGTGGATCTAGATTAATTGATCAAGATTGATTGATCTTGATAATTGATTTCTTTACAGTTAAATTTTTTTATATGAGTTTGTGAAAAAGTTTGGTAATTTTCATAATGACTGATAAAAAACAATGTCAGAGAGTGTCGTGAAGTTGTATTTTTCTTTGTTGTTCAAATTATGCATATTTTAATGCTTGAAAAAATTTTTAGAGAAAGCTAATTAAAATTTAATCAGACATTTTTTAAAACTATTTTGTTTATTTTTTCGGTTTTATTGAAAAATTTTGGATTCCTTTCGGTATAGTTGTGTTCAACAAAATTGCTTCTATAACCCAAAATATTGCAGCAACATTTAATATTTTATTGGAAATATTGCAATCTTTTAGCGTAATACTGCTGTAATATTGCTGTAATATTTCATGCTGTCGTATTTCATAAAAATTTCTGAAAAAATAATTGTTTTAATAATTTAAATTTCCTCAAAAAATAACAAAATTTTACACCGACTCACTTCTTTTCTTATTAGTTACTATAGAAATTACTGAAATTGCTTACAAACATAAAAAAACTTAGAAAAGAACTCATTCAAATTGTAACTAGATAACTATACGCTATTTGGCAGACTTTTTAAAAATAATTTTGATTTATATCCTTCAACAGCGCAATAACAGCTATTATAACCGATCGACTTGCGCACCGCACTCAATTCCGTTTATTATTGGATTTCCTCTCTTATACATTTTTTATTTACGATAAAAATATTTATATACAAAATTATTTATATTTAATATGCAATTAATATTCTTTTAATTTTTTGATCCTTGCATATTATTTACATATACATATATGTTACACATATATATAAATATACAATAGACTCCATATTATCTGACAGTTCTTTTTATCTTCCGGATTATTTGATTTTATTATCGAGTCGATGATCTCATCACGGTGGTATTTTAAAAAAATCGCACATAATGTTATCATTACGAAAACTCTTTAACACGGTCGAATAATCCGGGAGAAAAAGCATTATTGTATAATCAAGAGTCTATTATATATATATAGGAACATGTATTTTGGACAATATATACCTAAGCAGTCTTATATGTTCCATTATACAACTCTTTAAAACATTGTTAAAATTGGCAACATTATGTAAATGCAAGAGACGATTTCTCAGAATGTCTAGTTGACCAGAAATATGAAATA